GGACCCGTTGGCAGACATTGTGCAAGGCAGAAAGGCTGTGTTGTGCAGCTCTGTCACAAGATGCTCAACATCCCACCCACTTAGCCCAGGGTTGGGAACATTCCAAGGTTGGATGAACAGTCATGAAAATGAACACCCCAAACTCGCATGCATAGGATATGACTTATGCAAGGTTTAGGCTTGTAGCCTCATTTGTTGGGCTTCAATGAGTAATCTCTTTTTACCCTTGCAAAGTGAATGGTTTTGCTAGTACATACTTGTTAGTCATTTCAGAAGTCAGTACATGAGACCTCCCTAAGGCACACCTTCCTGTAAGGCAAGTCCAGCTGTGCCTTATCATTTCTGACTCAGAAAAGTCACTCTCCTAGAATGGTATAAAAGTAATATTACCTCCACTCAAATTCTGTCCAATATTTTATCCTTCATTCTTTGGAAATTAAATTATACTTAGCCTTAATTGGTACTAGATTATTTCTGGATATCCCTGAAAAAAATATGACTGCCAACTTGAATCCAGTATGTGCATCCATTTTTAAAGTAAGTCCAGAAGTTTTCAATGCAGGTTGATGTTTTATTTATTAACTTCTTTAAGTACTTAGATATGAGAATGCCAAAAGACACAATGGTCCCAGGAACATGAGTCCAGTTGTACCTCATTTATTAAAATCTATCAAATAATTTTTGTTCTTTGCCTGTGTGTTGTACATAAAATACCTCCTAGTAGTACCTCATTACTACTTTCGGTACTAGATCAGTGCGTCAGACTCCGAAAAGCTGCACCCCCAAGTGTGAGACGAGTCTGGCAAAATGTAATTGATAGAACTCGGTTGGGTAGGTATTTCTTTTGGTCAGGTGTTTTGGCCATTCATAAGTATTTTTTAGTCCTTTAAGTACTTCTAACTTGACATTCATCCAGTCCGCCACCCTTGGCGTCTGGAGGTACTCAGGTAGAGAAACGAGACGAGTCAAGTGGCACTTAAAATTGGTCTTGAAGTTTTCGCTCTAAGCCTGCAAGTATAATTGCCAAAAAATGGTCCTCAACCTCGTACTTCATGATCTGAGAAAGTACTTCCCCGTTAAAGGTGAAACTTAGTGGCCGGGAAGTCCTGGATAGAGGCATGAAGTCTAACAGATACTGGGTGAACGCAAATCGCGTGGACAGATGTGAGCGAGAAGTTTGTATGGGACGTATGAGCGGGGCTTGTCTTTGACGCCAAAAAACATGGCGTCAAAAGGCCTCACAGCTCGCACCTATGAATATCCAGTCTAGGTATACATAGTATATACATGTCTACGGCCAGCAATCGAAGCCTAATTCAATGACTGCTACTTTTACTCTTCATGGCGGAATGGAGCATCACAAATAACAAAAAAGCCACTTCTCGTCATCCACGAATCAATATCTTTCTTACGGTTAGTCTCTTTTCTCCGAAAACCCCCAGAATTGGAAGTGGAAGATATGTCTGCATTAAATATTACTAATTTGGTCCTCGCTGCAGTGTTTACTACTTTTTATCTTTAAATCTTTGCATCTGTCACTCAGATGAGGAATTTTCTGAGTCCTACACGATTTAGAATCCGTTTGTAGATCCAAAGTCAAACCATTATCATCAAATTCAAGCTGAAATCCAGTAAATGGGTGCAGCTCCTTCCATCTAACGCACAACCATGAATGTGGAATGCAGCTTCTGGATTCACTACTATCTTGCTGAAGCTTCGGTATGAAGTAGAAATTTTGCTAGGACGACAGCAATTTCCAGCCAGATATTTCCTGTTTCCTGCTGGAAATTTAGTGGTACATATGGGAAACGTCCAACTTGATCCTAGGGCGATTGGTAAGCATGCTGTGTGAGTCTGCGCAATCCCTCAAAACCTGAAGATAATGATTTTGGGTGGCAAGATTACTGATCTGACTGGTGATGATGTCCCACTGAAAGCAAAGAGTCACCGTCTGGCAAGGATCATCTGTAATTCTCAACCAGTGTGCTACTACCGACAATGCTGTTAATACCCAGGTTAATAATCAGGTCTGAAAAGAAACCCTGAGATCGCTAATAGATCACATTATGAGATCATAATCTACAGACAGTGGATCTTGGTGGACAGTTCCAGGTTCAAGGCTTTCAGCAAATCCTCCGATGTTTTTTCGGGATTTCTTTTTTGCGAGAAGCTGGAAGTTCTCCTTCCTCATTAATTCGAACGCGCCCGAACTCAATGAAAGAACTGCTTGATGAGTCCTCCATGGATGTGTCCTCCTTGGATCACGCACTGGCGCGCTTGCTCATTCGATGACTGTACAGAAAGAGCTCTTACTCATGTTCAGAGCAAGGAATTTCATTGAAATCTTCCTAAAACCACCTACCTGTATAGGACATGACACTGAAAATTTCAAGACGATGTTTAGCATGGTGTCCCCTCTGCAGCCGCACAAAGTTCGGAACTTTTTTTGGGCCACCCGGTATATGTACGAACGTGCCTGAGTGAGTGAGTGTTTGACAGACGCTAATTTTAACTTCGTCTTAGGTATTATGGAGGGATGAAACGTAGTACGTGAGTTTCTATTAGGATACTGAGTCGAGAAAAATTCCGAAATTGGTGGTGTGGGCTTAGCGGCGGACCTCACCGAGGATTTTCAACCTGAAAATTGAAAAGCGCTTTCTTGTAAAAGTAACCTCTCAACCCTAAAAACAATATACAAGGAGGCGACCTACCAGCAGATCTTTCAGTAACCGAGAGTATAGAGTCCTATTGTTATAAGAGTGAGTGGTATCCATCCAATATATCTATTGTTATTGTTGCTGACCAGCCTAGTCCTTCCGAATCTCACCGGTACTCATCTAATTGGAGTCAGTACATATAGTAGGGCCCTTTTTCGTACACGGAGAACACGTAATACCATTCGGCGGCCGCGCCCACAGTGGTATATGCCCTGCGGGCACGGATGTTGAGAGAAAAGGTTTTCAAATAATATTTTTTTGCTTCAGTCAAATGGAAAAACAAGGAGACCTTAAACTTGACTACTGGTACACTGAATTAAGGAAAAATACCAATGCATCTCCAGGAGGCATATTTTTTAAGGGTAATCAATTGGTGCGGTAGTGCCTATTACCTTTCTTCAACCCCTTCCAGCCGCAAAATTCAATATCTTCATATTCCTCTCTGAAAGCATCAACAGGAACGAAATTTGGCATACTTCTTCCGCTCTCGCCACAGAATCGCTCCAGCAAATTTAAAGTTCCATCTCCCTAGGGTTGTGGAGAACATTGACATCTCGTATTTGGAGGATGTGAATTTCATTCCCCTTTTATTCCCACCCCCACCCCTCCCCCTGGGTGGCCACTCCTTGGTGTTTTCCTAGAAAAGAGACCAACCGTAAGAAAGACATTGTCTCGTAGATGAAACGTAGCTTTTTTGCTGTTTACGATGCTCCATTTCGCCATAAAAAATGAAATTAACTGTCGTTCAATTAGGCTTTGAGTGCTTGCTCCAGTACCGTCCCCAGCGTTGCCGGATACCGTGCCGAAATTATGCCAGATTCAAGACTGTTTTAACCTCCGTATTGAAGTCTGGATCTTCTGTTTTTTAATGCATGAGAATTTTTTTGTGCTGAGTTAATGAGATGAGTTGAGAAAAAAACTGGTAAGCCTTCAGATAGGCCTAATGTTCCACGTCCCACTGAAACGGTCCATGAACGTATGAATAGGCCTGTAATTGGCCTAACGTTACACGTCCTCAACCAGATGTTTCGAAGACCACGAGTCACACTACACACACTCTACACACTCACACAAGGCCTAATTGGCCCCGTAAGTCGAGAATTGAATTTCTTTTTAAACTAAAAAAGGTAGGCCTTGGCGTGACCCGAAGGCAGTCTGTTGGTTAATCCTAGGCCTAATGTTAGTGAGTCCCATAGAGAGGCGGGGAGGTTGAAGAAAGGGAAAGCCATTGAAAATTTGTTTTCACATTACTCTATAATTTATTTATGCCCTGGCTAATCCAGCAGAAATGGGGAAGTGAAACTTGATGCACACATAAATGACATAATGTTGATTTCCGGAAAAAGTCAAATTTTGTGTTTCATCCCCTAAGAGCACAGCTTTTGGTTAGGTTGTCTTTCCAAATATATTTTTGCACCAGCAAAAAGGGCAAAGGTATACGACTGAAACCTTGCGGACATGGAGTTTTCTGAGTACCTATTTATGTTTTAAAACTTTATTCAGGTAAATCCACTCAGGACACATACTTCATAGGAGGAGCATTTCTCAGGATCTTCTTCAATCCAACAAAGCACAGAGCAATAGAAAGTTGAAACTTGACTCAAAATACCTGTTCATTTGCTGAGTGCAGAAAAACTTTCGAAGTAGGGCAAAACCTCTGATAGCTTATTACCTTCAGTACCTTATAGCAGGGTTACACCCCAAGCATATAAGCTCAGGCAGGTTTTACTGCCCAAGTAGAAATTTTTATCCAAAATATATCCATTGGACATACTCTCATGGACACTTGGACATCCAGTGGACTCTTCAGACATCCCCTGGATGAATAAATATCTCGTCCAAGGAAAATCCTTGGACATGTCCATTGGATGGACTATTGGATGTCCGTCCATTAGGTTCCATTGGAGATTCCCTTTGGGAAAGCTTTTGGATGACCATTGAGGGGTGCGGCGAAAGTAATCCCCAGGTAGCTATGAAGCATAATATGCATGCTCATGAATATTCATGGTGTGGGAATGGAGCATTTTATCCAGTCATGAAGGATGAATTTCCTTTAGCTTGGTCCAGTTTTAGTTGTACTTGCAATAAGCTCGTAAGTGTACCTCGGAAAGTGATTGATCCAAGGAGCTGCAACTTGGCAAGAAAGAGTTTTTCAGGAGTCTCTTTCATTAGGTAAATTTTGTGCTGATTTGACATTGAAAGATCTTCTTCATTCCAGCGAGTACTATCATCGAAATATCATATTGCAATCAAAAGAAAGTACCCTTCACATGTGTCTCTTACCATGTAAAGCGCGATGAAAGATGTAGTAACCAAGGTCAATCGCGATGGCAGTCAATATCCACGTCCAGGGTGAATCCCAATTGAGAGAAAATAGCCTCCAGTTGTCGTACACGTGCAAATATATCCCATATGTCATTACATGACACATTACCCTGTCATCAGGAGGATAAATCATACAGTGAATGATAGCTCATTTAATTTAAATAATGAATTAAATCTAGACTATAAAATGCATTATGGTCTGTGGTGGTGGTTGTGGTGATCGGAGGCATATGCGCAAACATTGTGAGTGCAATAGTCCATTTTGAAGCCAAAGGCCGCTAAAGCACGGAAATGTCTGCAGTGGTTTGTGATGTCTTTACAACAACGTGAGGATGCCAATATAAGACTACATGCCACAATATCATACAAAGTGATGTTGCAAAGCTACTTCAGTAAAGGAGCCTTCTTGCTCGGACTTCCCTTCCTCTTCACTCTACGTCAGTTCCCCGTCCGTCCTGCCATTGCTCAAAAGAGCACTGTGGCAACTGCCCCCTTATGTTCCTGTTCGCATTCTATTTTTTTATTTATTTAAAAGGCACATACAATAACATTCATTTATTGGCATCAATACCGATTGCCTTTAAACTAAGCCGTGTTCTTACACGACTACTCACTAGTAATGAATGAAATTGGTTATTCATTTTATATATTAATTTCATTATTTCTTATTAATTTCATTTGTGTCATGTTAATTGTTTGATACTGCACATTCTATGCTGCATATGAACTTCTGTGTGACCCGTTTCAAGGAATCTGCAAATAATGAAATGTGACGAATCGTCGGAACCTCACCAACGAATGAAACTCAACTTCAAAAGTGTCTATGCATTAATTTTCCGTGCATATAATAAGCATTATGACTCAATCACAGAAATTGCTCGAAAAGTTCCCAATGAATCCTTTCTCTGAAGAGTGACCAACGACAAGGAATATATTAAGGAAAATCATTTCCTCCCTTGGATTATCTCATACAAGATGTGAAGGCATGAAGATATCATGGTTGGATAGTGGTAAAGGAGACGATCACGGCTATTTAGATACCACGTGTCGAGGACGAGCATTCCGTAATTTTAGGATAGGTCTATTCCTCTAATCATTAAAAAAAAATTATTTGTATCAATTCCTAGTCCCTTACGGCCTAGACCCTTTCGTCTACATTGCCCACCTTTTACTTTGTCCATAAAATCATCTGGTCACTTCCTCTTATTTTTATAGTCACGGAAGGGGCAGCCAATACGTCGTCATCTAACGCATTCCACGCGATCACAATGAAATATAACGAAAATATAACGAAACCCAAGAAAATCAAAACCTCGAAGGAATTGAAGCGGGGAACGTAACATTACGGCGAATGACACGAAACGTCGAAGGGGACAAAACCTCGAATGTATCAAAAAGTGGGAAAAGACCGAAAACGTAGAACTTGCACTTCCAGACCGAGACTGCTGCCCACGGCCATTTTTACTTTTTCTTTTCAATGTCAAATCAATTTCAAATAACGAGGATGTTCTCTTTCCATGCGCATGATTATTGCATTGGCCTTTGAACTCATTCAGGACGTCCTCAGTGCCTACAATTCTCTACTCTCTTATTCCGCAAATTCCTGAACATGGAAAGGATATTGCAATTCACTTACGAGAATTTTACATTGAAGTAGGCGCATGCGAGGCCGTTCTCGCATTCCGCTTTTCGCCTTCGGCATGTGGAATGTTCATGAGGTTTTGAAAAGCAAAGATCCGCGAACGAACAATTCGGTCGAAGGATGGAGTCGCAGGTTCTCATCACTCCTGCCATCGCATTATCCAAATTTGTGGACCTTCTTGGAAATCCTCCGTCAGGAGCAGAATATGTTAGAACAGGAAAGAGAACGACTCTTCATGGGCCATGAACCGAGGCGCAGACAGAAGGACATTCAGCGCGACTGCAAGATTCAGAAAGTTTGTAACGACTATGCAAGCAGAGATGTCCTGGCCTAGCTCAGTTTTGCGCATGATCTGGAGTTTTGAACCCATCCTTTTGCTTTCAGTTGAAAGCCTAGACATTAAAAAAAAATAAAGTGTCATTCGACTTTTTGACGATTCCAGTTTTGTCGGTTCTTCTTTTAGTGCATTCGAGATACTGGTACATTCGAGGTTTCCGTTTTCTTCGTTTTGTCGTGCTTCGCCTACAATGAAGCCCTGTCTCGACCGAGCCGCACTTGCAGTTTATGCAACTTGAGTAGGTTACCTCTCGTTCTCTTGCTGCCATCAAACTGGAAAAACCTACCACACTCGACATTATCTATTCCTTTCGTTATCTTTAAAGCCTGGTTGAGATCGCCCCTCCTTAACCTTCCCTCGAGCGAGTACAGTCCCAACACTTCTAAACGCTTCTCGTAAGGAAATCCCTTACCTCATTTATCATTCTTGTGGCCCTCCTCTGTACCCCTCGAGCGTCATCAATTCACCTTTATTTGTAGGCCTTCACAGCTGAATGAAATATTCAAACTGGAGTGTTATCCTGCTGAAAAAACCCCTGAGATTCTCATGTGGTTTTCGGACAGAAGTCCCATGAGAATGACCTCACAAAGTTTGGAACAGATTTCTCATGAGGTTGATTTCATGTGATTTTCGCATAGAGGCGTCACTTCCCTCGTGGTCCAATAGCCATGAAAGGTTTCACGGGATTCAGCTTGCAAGGTCCCGCGAGTCCTCAAAGGAGAAGTAATCATATACCAAGGAATATGTACGGTTACACAACTGTAATTTATTCCATCTTCAATGTCATTCCATCCTGTTGGACAGAAGTGTCTTAAATCTCCCTGAACTGGGCTATCTTTTCAGACAAGTGTTTTTCCCAAATTAAAAATTGTTCATTGAGTTCTATGTAGAAATGAAATGCACACAACTTGGTGAATGCAGGAGAGATGCTTCAGTGAGATCAGGGGAACACTCATCAGAGCGGCTATTTGGGCTAGCTGAAGCTATCTTGCAAATTCTACCTCGCATTGAAGCTATCTTGCATTCACTGGTTTCGAGTGAAGGAATCGACCTAAAAATTTCACATTTTCAGGGTTTGTTCCCAGGAAAAAAGTGGTTATATCGTCGCTTGAGGTCTTCGTCGATAGAAACCCCTAAATCTCTCTTTCCGTTTGCATCCCTATGTTTATCTATGTCAAACACGTTGAGAGGCCTAGTGCTATTTCGACCGACGTGGACAACTTTTCACTTATTTTCTTAAACCTCGTGAGCAATTTCTTGAAATACTCATCCAAAAGCTCAAATCTCGCCCGGTTCTGAATCTATTCTCCCTCCCCCCTCACAGAAAAACCTTTTTTGGTGTCGTCGGCACATGTACTTATCTTACGCTCTACGCCTAGATCCGAATTGCTAATGTACAGTAGACCAAAAACAGAAGCGGTCCCAGGATCGACCCCTGAGGGACACTGCTTGCTCGCAAGAGACCTCCGTCGACGCTTTCGAATTTGCTCGTTGCTCTCTTCCCGTCAACCAGTTACTGATCCACTCGCTCGTCCTACCCTGGATCCCCTGCGGCTACAGTTAAAGGTGGTTTGGGAAGGAGAATCAGTGGGTCTGGGATTCCAAGCTTTCTCCATGATTCTTATGTAGATGGTCTCACAAAACCCAGAAAGCACTTTCTAACCTCCTATCATCTTGTTCAAAGTTTCTGCGTGACGGCAATTAAAATGAGCAGTGTTGGAAGGCAGCACAGCATCCGAACTACTGGACGGATCTCCATGAAACTCCCATCGTTACAAAGCAACGAAGGTTCTCTACAACATCGATCCAAGTTGAAGACCAAGATTCTCGCGTGAAAATTCAGGGGAATTTTTTTCTTCGAGCTCTGGATTTTCGTCAATTAGTTTTTCCGCCGCCGTTTGGAGAATATATTAATTTCAGAGAAAAGCATAAATCAGATTTTGGGAACACCCACATTCATCCGCATGCCAAGTTTTGTGAGAATCGTTCCTGCCGTTTTTCAGGACAATACTCGGATATCGCCAAAAGAAAGGGCACTTTTTCATTGCGTCAATTACTTCCTGGCGTTTTACTCTCGTTCAAAGGCGAAAATGGAAGAATTAATCAGACCATTTTATAGAAGAGATTCTCCCGGGCGAATAACCATTGTCTGTACTTGGTACGTCGAGAAAACAACGTTCCAAACATAGCATCTCATTTTGATAAGAAGCTGTTCCTCCGTAGGTACTCACTCCCTTCGCGTGGGTCATTCCTCAAGCGCGTAGCCTTTATGCAGATGATGAGCGGAGTGCGTTGTTAGGTGCTGGGGCGCGCTTGGGATGAGACAAAGAATTAATAGCATCAAAACGGATCTCCCATACAATAAGCGCTCGTAGTTTGGATATTAGCGTTGTTATCCATGGCGTCACTGTAGTTCTTACAGCAGCCGCAGCGGCGCTAGGTGCAAGAGTGTTTGAAATTTTGACTTCCTTAGGAAAGGCGCCATGTGTTCTCTCGCTTGTTGTGTTACAGTCTGCGACTGCAGTACAGCGAGGATTTAGTACAGTGTATCACCAGAACCCAAGCAGGATGACATGAGACAAGAAATTCGTCATGTCATCCTGCTCGTCAATTTCCCAGTAGGGAAATTCTGAGGCTGTCAGGTAGGATGACCTGTTTCCCTGATATATATATATATTTTTTTTTTCCTGTGAGCACATAGAAGCATTATCCAAAAGCGTATCGTGTGAAACTGAATCGTATCAAAATACACACAAAAGGAAGGAAACGAAAGCATTATAGGGTGATAACCGCTCAGGAACGGAACGTCTGGAGTTGAAATGAAAATTCTCATGAGTCACCTTAATTTCATCAATGTCATTTTGTTGCGATACTGTGATTTGTAGTATGAGAAACATTCATTTGAACATTTCAATTCGCATTGAATGCCAATTGAAAATTCATTATTAAGGCATTATTTACGAATAGTATTCACCAATTCACTACCTGGTCGATACTTTTGAATATTTAGGCAGTCTCATTCGCATAAATGGATGCTTTTCGACCTATTCCATCCATGACAGTTACAAGAACTTAGTGTAATAGTGAAACATTTTCTGAACTATGATCTCTGCCTGTACGAGCACCAGCTACGATATTTATTTGCATCGTTTCGCTCATCTTCATCGAACTTTTCTTTACTGTGATGTGAGAAGATGTGGAAGCTCCCACTGACCGTACGATTTCCATGAGGGATCCAGAGGCTAGGGAGACTATGCTGTCTTTCAATGGAATTAGGGGTTTTCCTTGCTTCCATCGGATCACTTCTTCCAAGACGATCCCCAGAACGAAATACGGAACCGCCTGCGTAAATATGAAATCAGCTTACGATAGACTCATTAATAAGAAGTATTTAATGCAATTTGGCTCACTTTGCGTGAAGGGCAATATATCCTTTACCTGAGAGATATAGTCTGGAACCTGCTCTGGCTTCTCGAAGGAAGTTTCCCACGGATCCACCAAGTAAAATAGACGTCCAACCTCCTTGATTCTCGCCCAGATTATCCCCGTCTCGTTCCGATCCATCCCGATTGCATTGCGAGACTCCCTATGCATTTGGAAGAAGGGGAAGAACGAAACCCACAATCGACCCGCTTGCACTCGGTTGAGGTTGAGACTACCTTCTCAGCTGGACAGACGATCCTTGCCCGGAGTCAAAGCACATTCGAGGCGGAGTTGTGTCACTTACTGCATGTCACTTCAAATCTTCATTTATTTCTATTCTCCCGCGAGTTCTCCGTGGTTCCACCTCCACGATTAGATGGCAACCAGTTGACCTTGGAAAAAAAAAGAAGCTCACAAGTTGCAATTCCAAGATCGGACAAGCGATACCATGCTGACGTCGGTGTGAGACTTAAGGTTCCGCAGACACCACTACTCCTTCGCCCAAGGTCCTTTGGGGGACAAGAAACGAGATTCTTGTCTATGCATATGATGAGTAATCAAGAATCTGGTTTGCAAGAATCACGCTCGCGAGAATCATGCATGAAAGAATGCAGTGTTTCTGCATGGTTTCTGCATGCAATGCAGAAACCATGAAGGACAGATTCCATGTATTGAAGGAAAAGTGTCTCTATTATCCTTGATTTAGCTCTGGGATGCACAAGCCCACATAGACAAGAATCACGTGGAGAAGAGGGTTACCCGATATTATATTCCCAGGCGAAATAAAACCGACAAAAAATACCCGATGGAACCTTCCCATGACTTATCATATCCAGACAAAATGCCACCCCGATGAGAGAGAGGAGGGGGAGAATGGGAGAAGAATGGACACGCCGACGCTGAACGTACTTCGTAACCTCACTCTGCAATTAACTCAGACCTGGAACCAGCTACTACCTCATCTTGTGGAATCCTCCTGCAGTGTAGCACAGCCAACTCAAGGTACCCCCTCTTTGCCAATTATTGATTATGGGGACTTTCATTGCGCATGGAGTGTACCATTAAATGACGATGGCCCTGCTGACAATCCCAACCATTGGACCATTTTCAATGAACCACCCCGCGATCTCCACTGCCTGCCATGTTCAGACTCAGGTGAATTGCACTACGGATGCACTGAGCCACTGTCCGAGGAAATAGCCTTTGAGGACACCACCTACTGCTACCACTCAGATGAGCCAACACCCTTTGGCGAAGAGATGTCTCATGGGAACACCAGCAACCTCAACTACCTTACTGAACCAATGCTCTCAGCTGACCAAGAGGAGCTCCTTGAGAATTCAACCTACTGCAACTTCAACTGGAAGCTGTGGAAGTGGAACTGGGACCCCCCCTTGCTCTACTACCCCAAATGAAGAGGAATGCTCAGATGATACGTTCGTGGAGTCGGAGGAGACGAAGACCCCAGCCGAAAGGCTTACAAAACGCAAGGCATCAACCAAAGGCCGTCAGAAGTCAGCTAATAGAACATGCCACTTGCATTCTATCGGCCAAGAAATGAAGAAACGTCTGCAGCAAAAGAAGAAAAAGAAGAGAATTTCTTGGGGGAGGAAACAACACTTCTATTACTTCACTGTGCTGTGTCCAGCTGCGACCAAAACCTTTGGAAAGGAGTCTCCTCGGAGCAGGAGAAAAAGAAAGAGGTAAAGAAGAAAAAGAAGAGAATTTCTTGGGGGAGGAAACAACACTTCCATTACTTCACTGTGCTGTGTGCAGCTGCGGCCAAAACCTTTGGAAAGGAGTCTCCTCGGAGCAGGAGAAAAAGAAAGAGGAAAGGCCTTATCTGGAAAATATCCTCAGAATCTGCCACACGCCTCCCTATCTCACCCACATCTCTTGTCCAGCTGCGACCAAAACCTTTGGAAAGGAGTCTCCTCGGAGCAGGAGAAAAAGAAAGAGGAAAGGCCTTATCTGGAAAACATCCTCAGAGTCTGCCACACACCTCCTTATCTCACCCACATCTCTCAGCTACAGAAGAAAAGCCCGCAAGTACACGCCCACCTGACTTCCTCAACCAAGGACGTGCCATTCTTGAGAGGGATGGAGGAAGAGTGGGACACCTGATAAGGCCCGTCCGGCCAGCTGGGTCACATTTATATCCTTCACCCCTCTTTTGTCACTTTGTCATTCTGCAATTCTTTCAATAATAAAAAAAAATATTAAAATAAATATTTAAAAAAACCACCCGATGAGAATTCCTCAGCTAGAGTCCAGTCCCAGGCTCTAGCTTAACTTAGCCGTGCTTTTCTCGGTTTAGGCTCGTCCCTTACCCCAGTTGCCGGGGCCCTTTGTTCCGGGAGCCTTCAAATCGTATTTTTCAAGGCGTCATCCTTCACCTGATTTGCATATTCCTGTATTATCAACATGTTGGAAGAATCTGTCTTTTGTTAGACGGAGCTTTCATCAAACTCCCTCCTCATTATCTTCAGTCTTTTTTCTTTCTTATCACCTTCTCCTTACTTCATCTTTAATTTCCAACACCTTTTCTTCAATCTCTCTCTTCCCAGGCATTAGCCATGCCTATGAAGAGGAGGCTGCGGAAAAGGGGCCCTTCCTCGCCCGCTCCCTCAGTTGTGTCTAATCCCTCTCCTCGCTCAAGGCGACAGCCTTCTCCTTCACCTTCACCTTCCCCACCAGCAAGAGACACCCGCTCTTGCTCTTCACCTTCTCGTGTCTCCAATCCCTCGCCTTGCTCCATGCGGCAGCCCTCCCCTGCCGCGTCATCCCGTCCCCCTTCTTCACACAACACTTCTCGTGCTTCCTCCCCAGCAACTCTCCTGTGCAAGGAAAAAGTGAACCTGAATTCCGCTCCTTATTTGTCCCCCGCTCACTCGCGGACGCCTCCTTCCACCCCAGATAAATCCTTCAGCTCGCCTTCTCAGCCTGGAACGGCTTCCTCGAGTAAATCTCGGCTGCTCCCAACCATTCGCGCCCCACTCCTGCACAGCCTCATTACTTTCAGAATCCTCTTTTTATTCATGCCCTGCCGCCAAAAAACCAACAAAGGATCGCCTTTGCCCGTGCGTTTTCAAACGCATTTCCAACCGTCCGCCTGCTTGACATCCGAGCAACTCGAAACGTAGGGTTCGTGCTGAGCCTCTATGTAGCAAGGAATTTCCCTCCACGAAGGAGGCCTCACGCGCATGAGGAAAACAAAAACCGGCGCGCCTCTTCCCCTCATTCTTGTTAAAGCCCTGGACACGGATACCGTACCGCCCGTGCGCTAGTAAAATCCGGAACGCTGGAAGTAGGTTGCTTGCGCCTGAAGGTCGAGGAGTTCGTTCTCCAACCGCGCATTATCCAGTGTTTTAAATGCCTGGAATATGGCCATTACATCGGCTAATGCAAAGCAGACCGCGATACCTGCTCCTTCTGTGCAGGGAAAGGCCAAGCTAAACGGCTTGCACCCTAAATGCAGCCAATGCCAAGGGACTCACATGGCGAACTCCGCCACTTGCCCCAAACGGCAGGAAAAACGGCGACAGATCGCCTCAGATCCGAGGTTCTCTGGCTCCTTACTTGCCAGGAAAATCCAGGAGGAGTTCAAGGAGCAAACGAACACCCGAGCTTTCTCTAGGCCGGCCTTTAACTATCCGAACCCGTCCCCTGTCAGGACGCCCGTGAAGCTTGTCCCCGCACCACCCCCCTCGCGACCCGCATGGACAATACCGCCCGCGTGTCAGGCCGCCCTCGCATCCCTCCGCGACATCCGCACCTGCGTCCGCCGCCATCCGCGTAGCACCCGTCGCTGCCGCAGCACCCGCTGTCATCGTAATCAAGCCCGCGTCCGCCCAAGCCGCGCACGTGTCTCCCGAGCGAGACGCGGTCATCCAGCTGCTCCTGCAACAAGTGCAGAATATTATCACGGACATAAAAGTGAGTCGGGCGCGGAATGGCCCAGAGGTGGCGTTAGGGTCGCTTGACCCAGACCCGGGTCAAGTTGACCACCCCATTTGTAATTATGCCAATAGATTATGATTAA